GTACTACTGTTAGTGACATCTGTGGCAAATTTCATGTCAATGTCATCATTAGTCATATAGTTACGCTTGTGTTTTCTAAACGACTAAAAGTGATTTTGGCGATTTTTACAATGTCTGATTTTGCTGAGCAAAGAAGTGCCATTAAATTTTGTTTGCGGAATGAAATTTCGGCTGCGGAAACGTTCAGAATGTTGCAGAGGGCCTTCGGAGAATCGACTATGTCGCAGAAAAATGTTTATAAGTGGTACAAAGACTTCAAAGAAGGCAGAGAACGTACTGATGACTTGGAACGCCCCGGACGACTATCAACGTCAATTGATGAGCAACACGTGAAGAAAATCAAGGAATTGGTGCTCGAAAATCGTCGATTGACAATTAGAGACCTTGTCGATATGGTTGGCATTTCATTTGGTTCAGTTCAAACAATTTTGAAGGATCACTTGGGCCTTAGAAAAGTAAAATCTCGTTTGGTGCCAAAAACACTCAATTTCTTCGAAAAAGAGCGTCGCGTTAAAGTTTGTAAAGAGATGATTTGTGACTATCAGGACGTCTACGAACGTATTATTACGGGAGATGAGACTTGGATCTATGCTTATGATCCGGAAACAACCGACCAATCGAGTGAATATCGTGCTAAAGGCGAGGCGAGACCAAAACAATCGCGCCAAAGTCGCTCAAAAATCAAGGTTATGCTGACAGTTTTCTTCAACTATCGTGGTGTTGTGCATTATAAGTTCCTTCCGCCGGGCCAAACTGTCAACAAGAAATATTATTTGAGTGTTATGCGTCGTTTGCGTGAAGCTATTCGCAAGAAGAGGCCGGATTTATGAAAAGACAATTCCTGGTTTTTGCATCACGATAATGCGTCTCACACGGCATTAATTCTTCGTGAGTTTTTCGCCAAAAATTCCACTCATATCGTCCGCAACCGCCTTATTCACCTGACTTAGCTCCGTGTGACTTTTGGCTATTTCCCAAACTCAAAAGACCGCTCCGGGGACACCGCTTTGAATCTATTGAAGAGATTCAACGTGAATCGCTGCGCGCTTTGAAGGCAATATCGGGAAACGACTTTTTGGCATGCTTCGAGGCATGGAAAAAACGTTGGCATAAGTGCATTGTATCGGAGGGGGATTACTTTGAAGGGGATCAAATTGATTTGGATGAATAAATAAAGATTTTTTATTTTATAACAAAATTCATCTTACTTTTTGATCACAGTAGTATCATTCAATCGTGTAAGCGTTGCGTAATAATCTTCCCAAGCTATCTTCAAATTAACTGGAAGCTCTTGATTCCACTCCACATTTTGTTTCCATATATTCTCTACATGATAATCTTTCCGACGATGAATACTAAAGCCACCAAATTAAGTGGATCGAACTTGTGACATTTTGGATAATACATTTTGCTTAGTATTTGATGCAATCTCTTCCAACGTAATTCGGTACTAAAGCGAGTCTGATGTCGTATTTCATAAGAGTCCTAATGTTTTGAATGGTTGATCTTCGTCTATTACTAGTAAACTATTTTTTCTGCTATGTTCTGATATATGTTCCAACAGACTCTGATTATTTGTCCTCCATTTGCACAAAGGAAACTTTCCACGATCCAACATCCCGGTTAGTTGTCTCTGCAAGGTTACCACATATTTAAGTGTAGGTCCTCCGGTAAGGGCATCGTCTATGTAGAAGTCCTGTTCTACAACTTTAGCTGCCAACGGTAATTCCTGCTTGTGTATCTCGGCTAGTTCTTTGAGACATCGCATGGCTAAATATGGTGCGTAAGCTTCCGTATGTTATGGTATTAAACTGATATAACTATGATGATTGTGTTGCATCATTGCGTCATAATATGAGTTGTAGATTTCGATCCCTAAGGTCTACTACCTGTCGAAACACTGACGTAACATCCGCTGTTAAAACAAATTCATGCGTTCTAAATCACATAAAAATCTGCTGCAACTCCGCTTGTAAGTTTGCACCAGGCATTAATTTATCGTTTAATGAATTACCATTCGTGGTCTTTGAAAACGCGTCAAAGACGACTCGTAGTTTTGTCGTCATACTATCAGGGCGAAAAACAGATTGGATGATGTAATGCTCCTGTGCTAACAGAACATCCGGATTTTCTACCAAGGACATGTGATCCTATTGTCGATATTATTCAAGAATTCCTTGTAAGCCTCCTTCTGTATAAGATCCTTAGCGAATCGACGCTCTAAATAGGCATAATAGGCACAGGCACTATTGCCATATATTTTTACATATTCATGCATGAACAATTTTTTACCCGGAAACATAACCCTGAGGGTTAAATTAATTAAATCTCCAAATAAATACGGAGGTCAATATGGTCAGAACACGAATGTCGTATATATATATATACTATAGGGTGGGCCATCTATTGGTACGTTTTAAAAATGCGATCAAATGAGCATACATTGATATTTTTTATTAATTTTTTTTTTGTTGTGAAGCTAAAAGTATCCGCGTCAAGAATGAAAAACGATTTCGTTCATGTGGCTCCCTCTACTGGCCTTACAGTATGCCATTCGGTCACCCCAATTATTCAAAAACGTACCAATAGATGGCCCACCCTTTATATAGAAAGGCGAAAATGTAAATCAAAATCAAAATGGATACACAAAACGAAGTCGGGACAATGTCCCTGTATATATATATATATATGTGATTTCCGATCCGCAGGAATGCCTAGATATTAAGCGTTAAAGTTGGCGACTATGGAGATTAGGAAATCTATCATACCGACTACATGTAACGCTATGAGTATGCTCTGTGATCTCTTGCGTTTAATCACTATTCCATACAATAGAGTGCACAAAATTTAAAATCAAATTAAAAAATGAATGTTACTCGTGCAATGATTCTATTATACATAATTCTATTCCAAATAAATCATAACTTATGTGGACAGTGGAGTGTGTAGACAGTAACGCTTGGGTTCGGGGCGGCGTAGTTGCTCGAACAAAAAAAAAACATATTCTAGCCGCTTGGAGCCTAACCGTCTAGAAGCTACAGCCTAGACAATGTCCGCTTGGAATGTTTCTAACCCATGAAGACAGTAGGGTGTGAGAATAGTTTTTTTAGAGGCAGTAAAAACCCATTTGGAATTGGAGGTGTGAGGATAGTATTTATAAAGCCTATTTTATTGATTTTTGTGATGCGAAAGCCAAATTATAATTATCGATATGTACTTAATACTACTTAAAATCTGAATCTTACACGGAATTAGAAATACTATCCTCACACTATAAATTCCAAATGGATTTTTGTTGCTTCTAAAAAGATTATTTTTGACACACCCCACTGGGTTAGAAATATTCCAAGCGGCTAGGATATGTTATTTTTTTTTTGTTCGGGACGGCGTAGCTCCGAATTTATTATAATTTATTTGGAATAGAACTATGGATAATAGAAACATTGCACGAGTAACATTAATTTTTTAATTTAATTTTAAATTTTGTGCACTCTATTGTATGGAAGTGACTAAACGCATGCGCAAGAAGTCACAGAGCATAAAGAAAGCATATTCATAGCGCTATATGTAGTCGGTATGACAGATTTCTTAATTTTCATAGTTCTCAATTTTAACGCTTAATATGTCGGTTTGAGAAGCAGAACGACACTTTTTTCTGCCATATTTGTTAATTTTGTGCAAAAACTCGTCGAATTAGCCTAATTTCATTAAAATCGGAGAGGTCGGCCGTCTCCTTCATAATTACCCAAATTATTGCACAATTTAGCCAATTGATCAACTCGATTGGTTTATTCAAGTATTGTCGTCACGTATTGCCTGTCACATATTCTAAAGGCTTAAACACAATTCACAAGCAACAGGTAATAACGAACTGTCCAATCAGAGCTCTGGAATATAATATCAATTTACACATCTGATTGAACGGCTTATTCCCTATTGCCTGTTCTATTGTGTTTAAGCCTTAACACTTTTTGCGCATGCATTTATACGAGAAAGCAATATCTGTTATCTCTTTTTATCCACCATTTTTGGTCCACATTCGCCAAACTTTGATTATAGGATCTCTAGCTAAATATGAGCGATGAGCGACATCATAAACACGTACCTTAAAGCTAATCACACACACTTACCGTAACAATAACAGTAAGGTTTTCGATCAATCGCGTTGCTCGATTGTTATAGTTACGGACAATTGAGCAACGCGATTGGTCAAAAACCTATGTTACGTTTACGATTACTATTACAGAAAGTGTGTGTGTCTAGCTTTACTGTTACGGAAAATGTGTGTGACTAGCTTTAAGCCTTGCGTACAATAAAAGGAATAAAGAATTAGAAATAAAAAATAACGGTTTTAACCTGAATCAGAAATTGGATATATCGGAATACACGGTTTTTGATAGGTTGAAATCATTTATTCTTTATTCCTAATTCTTTATTCCTTCTATTGTGCGTAAGGTCATAGGCCTAGTTTCCATCGAGGATTTAAACCAGATCAGGGGGTCGATTGTGGAATTTGAAAGGAGGTAAAAATTACAAAAGTGAGCAAAGGTTACTAGATATTGACTAATTAAATTATGAATTTGCTCACTTTTGTAATTTTTATCTCATTTGAAGATGCACAATCGATCACCAGAATGTAAGAATTAACCAACTACAGTCGAGCATTCCCATGTCGTTCGACTGTAACAGGGAAATACTCGATTGTAGTTGGTTGGTTCTTACATTCTAGGAATCGATTTTGTATCTTAAAACGAGGTAAAAATTACAAAAGTGAACAAATTTACTGATAATTTCATTGGTCAATGCCTAGTAAATTTGCTCACTTTTGTAATTTTCATCTTGTTTGAAGATACAGAATCGACTCCCTGATTCGAATTAAACCCTCGGTGGAAGTTAGGACATTGTCGAAAATGTGATACCTAGTTCACATCATTTACAAAATTGATGTTGGTGCCGCTAGTGTACAGTGGCTTTCGAGTGTCACGCGAAAAACACCGGGGACGGCCTCTCTCAAGTTTTTCTGTGCTCGTGTTTTCGTGATGATAATAAATTTATGAGTCTATTCGTCTCGCCGCGATCTTTTGACCGTAGTAGATCACACTCAGGATAAACTAGAAGACTTTTCTGACACCTCGCCGTAATAATGTGCGAGCTAATTAAAATGGATAGTTGAACGCAATGATGACAGATGATGCGAACTGACGTGCCGGTAGATCGAAATATGAGAGGTACGTAACGTGTATGGGCGATCAATAAATTATTCACGCGGAGAAAATATTCCATTTATTTCAAAACAAGTGTTTGTCGTGACAAAGTCGTCTGCATTGAGGATCAACGCATATTATTTTGCTACATTCTCAATGCTTCTCCGATTCTGATCATTCGTATATATGTATTTTTGAATATCGTAAATCGTAAGTAACATGACGAGGATCATGTTATTGAATATCTATTGAAATTTAGCTATTATTTTTCAACTGTAAAATTCAATTTTCTACAAACAGGCGACAAAAAACATTTACATAAAAAATTATTTTAAGAATAGAGTTAAGTTTTTTTTCTGCCTTTCTGTCTCTTAATTTTTCTTTTCTTTATTTTATAAAAGCATAAGTTAAATTTTTTTACTTGAAGAGACAAAGTTCAAGATTAATTTCAAGTTGGATTGCATTAAATTGAATTTCATATCTTTCTATATTTTCTTATATCTTATGCATGTTTTAATGCTTCTTGAAAGACAATTGCAATTTTATTATAATAATTTAATGCCAATATAATCATTTTTATTGTTTTAATTAGCACAGTATGTTTTTTTAACATACATTCTTTTAATCGCATTCTACTTGTACTAAAGTGAAAGTTGAAATTGATACAGCAGCAAGATGTAATCCTCTAATTTTTATATTCTATTATAATAAAATTATTTATTTTGTATATGTGTATATATATATATATATATATATATATATACACATATATATA